GTTATTTGAGTTAGGTGAATCACAACAAGAGAAGATGAAGGCGTGCAATTTCGTTTTCGTATTGAGTTTATGTGGATGTTTCGGCAAGAGTTCGTTTATGCTCTATGTTTTAACTTATTTTCTTATCCTCATTCCAATCGTCTTCATCAATAGATTTCGTTAGGTATTTTTCTATCTGTTTCAGTCACCTTATTATACTAATATATAGAATTATAGTAATTGAAATTTATATGAATACAACGTTTGCAGATGTATATAATAGTAAAACATTTACCCAAAGCAAAGTTGAAAGCATTGTTACCGCTTCAGATTTGAAATTTGACAAATGCTATGGATTGAGCATTATCTAAGATTATATATTCTACAAATTTATATACGTGTACATACAGGTTTGTATGCTCGACGGTGTATGCAGTTCATGCTTCGTTACTGTGTCAAACTGTGAATTAGCAGTCAACGTGTTAAGTTTTGCAGTTCTGTTAAGTCAGTTAAAATTAATTCAACAATAAATTTTCGGAAATCGATACTTAACAACTGAAACTTAACAAACGAGATTTTCAACAAATTCACTGCACTGGTCAGCAACAAAAATTTTGTCAGAATGAAACATTTGCCGGCTTTTTGTCAAATGAATGTACTGATGTGTCTTGGCAATCTCATAAAGTTCTCATCTAGTCATTTGGGTTAATGTTATGGCGTTCAGATTGTACATAATTTATGGAGCATTTTGGCACTACTGGCTTGCCAATAAAATTTTAATGTAAGCTAAATAAATTCATTTGGAAACAACCCACGTCTCATAATTTTGAAATATTTATGCTTTCATTAAATTTGAATGAATATAGGAAATTTATTAGTGTGAGTATAATAAAATCTTTAAAAAAAAACAAAAAATCATCTGAACTTATCCGAGTGCATAAAATAAAATTTTTTTCTATCGATATCTTAAAACTGTATTGCCGAAATCTTCGTGTATGATGAACCGATTTATAGTTGCAGCAGCATGAAGAAGGGATCAAAAAATTTTCTCCACTCTTGACCATTGTCTGTTGTTCTTCCTATTTCGATTATCGTTTTTTTTTCTTTTTGTTCTTTTTGCTGTCTCTAAAAGATTGTCCTTTTATGTCAACCTTAAGTGCCCCTGAGGTCTTTTATATTTAGCCTTTCCTTTCGTATGTATTTGAGAATTTTCCACTGTGGTATTCTTGGCGCATGATCGAACCATTAAAATTGACTGCACTTGACTTTATGTTGGATGTTAAACTATTATAGCACACTTCTCACTTTTTCCCACAATTTTCTTAAGGCATTTTATTTCTAAAGTATTACTTCACTAAGCTCTTTATTCTTTACTGATCAATTTTTCATACAGTGGAACCTTAATTTGAACCTTAATTTTCTTGTCTATCTGTTGTTTACTAATATATTTGCGGTTTTACTGTACGTTCGTTGCTTTTGTGATTTGGTATCGTGTTTTAAGATATACATATCTTTCTGCATTTACGGATTGACCATAATTGCCCCCAGCGTAGCTGAAAGGTGCATATGGAACAGTGCATATGAAACAGTGCAAAATGGAACAGTGCATATGGGACAGTGCATATGGAACAGTGCATATAGAACAATGTATATGGGACAGTGCATATGGGACAATGCATATGGGACAGTGCACCCCCTTTAAAAAGCGTGTCTTCCTTCCTCGGTCTTCCTTGTATATTGATTGTCTGAATTAAAGAATTTTTGGTAGATATATCTCTATCCTAGGCCGAGAAGCCACCGTTTTGATACAACAAGCAATTTTTTTAATGCACATTAAGTCCTATACTTGTATAAGACAATTATATTATATTAAAAACTAATAGTTTTCTTTATTCAAAATGCAATAAAATTTAAATTGTTTTTGCATTTTTATTATATCAGAATATCTACACAATTTTAATGATATCGAAAATATTTACTAAGTAAAATATGTGTCTATATAAAAACATATGTAAAACATGTGAATACAACATTCAATTTAATTAATTTTTTTTTCAATAATTTACCACAATTGACAAGCAATTAAAGAGGCTAAAGTATCTTTAACAGAATTTATGTACGAAATATGTTAAGCAAAATAACTTAACAAATAAATATTGTCAATAATGAACTTCCAAGAGAAGCACTGCATCGCAGCATCACTCAGTTCATGCTTAAACGTAGCACTTATATGCATTTTAGGTGCGTTTTATGAGGCCGCGTCCCACACTTGCATATTTGATTCGCGGTTTTTATTTTTTTTGGTATCAATTTCAATTACCGCACCGCAATTCACGGGAATTTGCAGTTTTTTCTATGTTGCAAGCAATTTGTACTTGCATTTGGCAAATTAATTAATATGCAATAATTTTTCAAAGATTTATTTTTAATTGAAAACTTTACCGTAAAGATTCTCATGGGGCTCTTAACGCTTCTGCTTTTGAATCGTACTATATTTAATTGAGCTAAAACTTAAATGTGAGCAAGTTTTTTTCACGGCAATTTTATTTACATAAATTATTTATTGCATAAATTAATAAACTGCATAAATTATTTATTAATCTATGCGGACTTGTTATAGAAATGTTGTCTTTATGACTTAAATAACGTTACTTTTCACAGAGCAGTATATAAATTTTATTTTATTTAAATTAATTTTGCAGAAATGTCAGAAACAAGTTCAATGTGCTTTCAATATTTTTAATTCTTTTAACTATGAAGTATTTTAATTAATATTTTATTATATATTCAAAGAAAATTAACTTAATATTTTCTCATAAAATAATATTAGGTTTCTTTAGTTATTTATTTCACCTCTTCAAAGAAAACCCTTAAAATAGTTTTAGATTATATAGTTTTTCTAGATTTTTTATTCTGACATAATAATTGAAAATAAATATCTATATAAAACTAATATCAAAAGTGCGTGATCACTTGATTATATTCTCATATAGTTGATGGTGGTGCAGCTATAATCTCTATAATTTAAACCGGGTCAAAACTGCCTAAAAATCTTATATCTGAATTGTCTCGTATGAACAAAATAATAAGCTTCTGCATATTTGATAAAAAGGAGCTCTATAATTTAAACTGTACCGAAACTGCATAAAAATCGTATATCTGAATTGTCTCGTATGCACAAAATAATAATTTTCTGTATATCTAGTCAAAAGGAGGCGTACGATATAAGCAATATAGCTGATACACTTGAAAAGAACAGTGCTCTAAATTGCTTAACAGAATCCAAACTCGTCTGTTAAATATAGCTATATAGCGATATAGTTGATACGCTTGAGAATTGCTTAACAGAATCCGAACTTGTCTGCTAACAAGTTCAGCAGGGCTGTCCAGACCAGATAAAATCGCGGGTCAATTCAAATCACTGAATAGGCTGGAGGGCCGCAGAAATAAATATATATAATTTATATAATTTTACCGGAGAAAACAAAAATACAGCGATAATATTAAATTTAGTTTTATGAATTCTACAATTATTTATATTTAACAATTCTATCAACATCAACATTATTAATACTAGTTTTTGCCATACAAAAAATATCTAATTTTTAATGTAATAACTTACAGCACTGGATACGAGTTTTTTCAACCAGTTGTACAAAGAAATATATACTAAAATCTTTGTAAATCAAGTAAATTAGCGTGAAGTGTAATAAATTATTTAAAACATCCCAAATAAATGTAATTTGGGATACCATAAAAATAAAATACTGTAGTTATCAAAACACAACAAATCGAAAGTTGCCTAATTGTGGTAGATTAGACACATGCTGAGGGCCGCATGAATCCCGTGGACCGTGCTTTAGATAGCCCTCATCTAGAGAATAATTTTGAGCTTTGTATTCGTACAAACCCAAGGAAGTATTCGTTTAATTGTCGCATTAAGCCCCGGAAAGAATTAGAAGCTTACTTTCAGACGGCTGCCAGGGCTATGTTCTATGCCACTCTGTGGGCCGGTAACTGAAGAAGAACAGTGAAACGCGTATTTAGAGAGCTACGTTTCTAACGGAATGATGGCTTAGCATAACCTCATAACAGAGTTCAATTCAAATTATTAACACAGTTTCTATGCTTTAAATAGAAAGTTCGAATTATATGTTATACATATACATTACTTTTCGCTTTAAACGAACTTTTCGTCACACCGAACCAGGTCAAAAATTCCGCATTTAATTTTAAGAATTATTATTCTTCATTTGAGGTTTTCACTTAAAACGAAACATTTTGTCCGATTAAAGCGAAAGGTATTATATTAAAAAAAAATCTCTATTTTCGCCTTCGATTTCAAACTTCAAATAAGAAAATGACAACATTTTTAAAAGATTTATTTAAGAGAATTGTTATGGATATCAACATCAGATAAATGAAAAGTGATTTATAGAACTTTCTTTTAACTGAAGACTACAAATTTTTTCTTAAAATATTTCTAAGTTTGTTTTGTGAAAAAAAAAAATTGTAGAACTTTCCCTTATAAATCTTTCCAGGAGTAATGACTTCTTATTAAGCTTTAAAAAATTTTTTTTTTCAATTCTTTTCATTATAGTCTAAAAATCGTTACATAATATTTTTGCTATTTTTAGAAATTTTTTTAAATATTATTATGGCTGTTTTTAAAAAACAGACGAAAACATAAATAAATTAATTTTTATTATTCGCATAAGAAGAAAGTTCGCTGAACTCTCAAGTCTAAATGCGAAATTAAAAACTTTCTTTTGACTTCTTGCTAAACAAATTTATGGTAAGACAGATTATAAATTCTATATAATTTAAACCTAAAATTTGGAATTTTAAAGCTATTACATAATTTTATATTAACAAAAGAATATTTATATTTAAAATAGTTTAAAATGCAAATGAAGAAAGAACTTTCAACTATAAAAGAGAAATTGTAACCAACAAGAAATTAGTTCTGCCTTTGATTCCTAAACACTAATAGCTGCTTAGCATCAGAAATTCTAATAAAAATGTATAAAAGTGTAAGTTTAAATTTTCAGAACAAGCTTATATATACATCAACAAGCTTGAAATACAATTTACAATAATGGTTTTACCTTTACTCTTAGTTTATCTTTTTTGGATTACTTTCCTTGGCCGCTGCTGGTTCCATTGGAGTTAGCACAAAAAATTACGGCATTGGTGAAGAAAAAGAGAAAGAATTCGTAACCATTGTTAAGTCTGCAGAAGAAAAACAACCAGATGGTTCCTTCTCATTTGCTTATCAAGGAGCTGATGGTAGTTTCCGTGAAGAAGTCGGTAAAGTTATAAACCCAGGCACTGATGACGAGGAACTTGTTGTTCACGGCACTTACCGCTATGTGGATGAAAATGGTGAAGAAGTAGTTGTTAAATATACAGCTGGCAAACATGGTTTCGTCCCAGAAGGTACCAATATACCAAAAGAAATATCTTTGGCAGCTGCAGCAGCTGCAGAAACTGCAAGGCTACATCCAGAGGATGTTTAGAACTAATTGAAATTTTATTTTAAATAATCTCAAACCTGCGAATAGAGTATGACATAAATTGTGCCAACATTAGTTTAAAGTATAAATTTAAGTTTTACATACATACCACAAAAGCCTGAATAAAATTAATTATAATCTATTAAATAAAATATCTAAAGAATTTGTATTATTTATATTATAAAATCAAATGCAAATTTATTGTTTGTCAAATGTCAATATTTTTGCTATTCATATTAAAAGCATTACTTCTAACCTTTACTTAAATGACAGTCTTAAAGGTGCAACACATTAAGTTAATTTATAAAATAATAAACTGTAACAAAATAAACGCCTTTCAAAAGGCAAACACCTTAAATTACAATTCCAAAGAAATAACAAAAAAAAAAAAAAAAAAAAATATAAAATATTACTGGTAGTAATAATAACATGAAGAACAAATCTTCAGTACAATAAGTACCCACCTGTCTTCTGAACGGAATTAGTGGATGCAACTTAAATGTTACCAAAGCCATTATCACCAACTTGGTTAACAAATATAGTAGAAAAATTCATGTCTTTGAGGCTTTTTAAAATAAATTTAAATCAAATTCTTTCATTGGACTAACGCAAATTATTGTAATGAAAAGAGTGTCTTTAATAACAACAAAAGCGTTAATCCAATGTGCAAATATGCAGTAGAGGAGCGCCCCAAACACCTCCAAAAACATTGCCACACAACACACAATAAACCAAACAAACAAACAAACAAACAAACAAACAAACAAACAAACCAATGAATGTACAACATACAAACAAACAATCTGACAAACTACGGACAAGTCTAACCGATCTGTTCTGCCTTACAACCGCGCAGGGAAGTCGAGCCATTGAGCACAACACTCCGAACTCGACGAGAAAACTTCGAAATACTAACTGTGTAACTGTGTAATACTAACTTCTTCGTTGAAAAATTCAGATTCAACATTTAATAATGAAATTAAAAATAGGAAACCTGCAAAACTATTTAATTTGCAATGAGATTTTTAACATTACTTAAGCTGTCAAAATTATAAATTGTTGCAATTTTGATTTTTGCTGCTGCTAAGCAGCAGTAATTGTTGCTATTGCCGGCACAATTCAGCTTAATCCGTTGCTCATCATTGTGCTCAATGTTGCATGAGCCACAATATTAATTCACACTAATTTTTAAGCTCGGATTTCAGTTTGTGCATGCAAACACTACACTACACTTTTTCGTGTAAAATCTTAAAAAGCGATATTACGAAAAAGCAACTACAATTAATAGAGGAATCTGAAATTGAAGATACATGGAGCAATTTCCAAAGACTACCTTAAAATACTTAGCTTAAATTTCAATGAACACAAGCAACACAACACAAGAAAGTTATAATCAAAGAATATACAGTTGGTTCTTAACTTTTCAATATACTTTTATTGTATCTTTTTAGTAAACATTATAAATTTGTTGGAGCAAATTCGTTATGATCGTTAATGATCACATAAGCGTATCTTAAATAATAAATATTTTTCAATAGACCTAGTTAATTGTTAACATTTCATGATATGGATCATTCTCCATTTTGACGAAATGGAGCATTTTCAATTTTCACAAAAGAGATAAACTTAATAATTATTCAGATATTAACTCACGAATTTTCCTCTCGACTTAGATAAAGTTGGCTTAATGATTAATGAAATCTAAATTTCAACTTTTTTGGGTGATATTACATTATTGTTATTATGGAGAATTTTCTTCACAACAGCTCGCATATATTCGTATTCCTTATTTTTAGTCTCGATATCCCTACAAATGCAAAACATTTTCTCTGCTACAAGAACTCGATGCACTAGAAGTTTAAAAAGCACATAACCATATTCATCAAGAATTTTTTTCAAATCATTTTGAATCGAAGCAAAGTTCTCCAATTGTGGAACACCACAGATAACTATATATGATGCTAAACGGTCGGCATTTGTAACCATTAAGATATTTCGAACATTATGTTGTGGTACAGTTTGATTCTCTTTATGTAAATTCGTTTTTGTTTTTTTTTTGCAGTAGGTGGAAAGTATCGAAAGCCACAGTGTGAGACTTGAACCCACTTAAACCACCTTTTAGGAATGAATATAGAAGATTGTAGTCGAATGCAGCGTACACAACTCTATTCGAGTAATCAAGAGAGAGAGAGAGAGATTAAAGCAAGATGCTTAATACTTAGCGAACGAGGTTAATCTAAGCCAGAAAGTATGTGCGTGAAGCAGGAAAATTGGGTATTAGTAAAGGGGGCGGGATTATTGCGCAAGCGCGAGAGTTCTAGCGGTAGACTCTGTGACTGGGGATGATGGAGGAATCAGAGTCCCACTCATCGAGGTTAAGGGATAGGTGTTGTTGGAATTTGTTACGTAAGGCCTGGAAATAAGTCCGCAGGGAGAGTGGTAGGCTCTGAGATGTCAGGCGGGAGGTAGTGCAGCCGCGTGAGGTACCTTCGAGCGTGTGAGAGGAGGTACTCGTCGATGCGAGTAATTTTGGATGAGTCTAGAAGGACAGAGTTGGAAAAGTGCTTGCCGTTAGGCTTGTGATTGTAATTGGTGCAATAGCAAAGGAGCTTGTGCTCAAAAAGACGGATGTTTTCCATCTGGGCGGAAGAGATTGCAGATCAAATAGAGAAAGCGTAAGTAAGCAAGCAGCAAATGAGCTATTTGTGTGAGCTGGTTGTACCTACGAAGGGCATTTTTTAGTTGAGTATGCCTAAACCGCGCATTGCGGATGGCATAGTCAACATGAGGGATAAAGTCGTGTCGAGAGGATAGCTTTTGATACAAGCTTCAATATTAATTAATAAAAAATCGAGGCAAAGCAACATAATACATAATTTCGCAAAATAATTATTAATAATATGTCTAAAAGTATTACTAAGATTAAAATTGATTGGAAGAAAAACCTTAAGGAATATATTACAAGGATGTATGAAAGTTCGAAACGATACGGCTATTGTTTTATAATTGAATATACGCTATTAATATTCTATATAATGTTACTTATACTGTTGCATTGTCAGTGGAACGATATATTACCCAACCTCTAATATTTTCATTAAATTAAAATGGTTTGTAACATTGTATTCACAGTAGAGATGCGCTCTGTGTTAAATACAATATTTTATATGTAAGTATTTTAATCTGATTGGTTACTTATACGTGTATATATGTATATTTTAAATGTACATAATTTATTAAAAACGATTGAATGCATTTATACATTTTAAAATAAATGGCTTAAATGATTTAATAATTGTAGGCTTGGTTTACGGCTCAACAAGTGTGTATAAACAAGTAGTATAAATTATTTAATTAAATTAATTATGCAGTTTATATAAAAAATCACTAACATATAATGAGTCAAAGTTTAATTCAACAGCAAGGGAGCGCTTACGATCAATTCCCTATTTGGAGATGATTATGACTTGTAATTTAAATAAATACCTGACGTAAAGAATATTTTAATGAAAATGGAATAATATCTTTAAAATTCCGAGACGTTATCAGGAAAAGAAGTCAATGTTTACTAAAATCATTTCTTTGATTGTGATTCATCTACACCAGGGCTGTTCAAATTACAGCTCGGGGCTAATGATTGTCCGGCTTGCGACATGGTTTTAATCTGCTACAATTACGCAAATTTTCCTTTGGTGTACTGGTAAAGCTATATTAGTTTATTTTTATGGTATAACAAATAAATGAATTCAAATTAATAAAACCAAATTTAACATTATAACCGTATGTTTATTTTTGTCGAAAACAACTGTGGACGTATGTAGCCCTCCAATCTGTAAAGTGATTTGTATTGGCCCGCGCCAATACAGCCCTGATCTACACGATAAGTTGACAAGTTTTTTGTTTGTGATAAACGTAATAATTATCTTATGTACATCTAGAGAACATTTTATATCCCAACAATTTCTGTATCACGGTCCTGATCCATTTATTCGGTCCCGAATAATTACGAGCTAACACTTTTTCTCCAATTGCGAATTTACTTCTGTGTTGAGTTTCCATCGTCTCAATAACTTTTGGGAAAAACGCCGATACATATTAAATATATATTAGGTTTAATACAATTAATTGAATAAGGATAGCCTACTATTCAATAATGGTTATACATTTCCAACAGTTAACAACATAGTTTTAATGGAAAACTATATTGTTAGTTTTCTCGCGTTGTATAGAGAGACAAAATGTTGATTCAGAGAAAACTTCTTAATTTACGATGATTATTTTTTATCTCTAATTTTAAATTGTAAATTAATATTTCGGCTTAGTTTATTAATTTTTATATTATAATTATTATTATAAATACAAATATGTAGTTATAATTACAGTTATAATTAATATAATATGGATTATTATTATTATCTATGCATTTTATTTATTACAATTATTAAAACATCAAAAAAATTGCAGGACTTATACTTTAAGACGATATTTTATACTTTAAGACGATACTTTAAGACGATAAGAAAGTGCCCCCTCTTCGGTCAACAAAAACGTTTTAACTTTAAGTAAAAAATTTTGTATTAAGTGATACATATTTACCTTAATAGTTGTTTAAATAAATGAAAAAAACAAAAAGTAATTTTTAAGAAAAAAAATTAATTATTTCATTTGTAATGATTTATGATGCGAAGGAAATATCTAAAAATAATTGTCAACTACCATCCAAAAGTACCTGTTCTGAGTAAATGAACGTGTTACACAATGAACAATACACTTCCTACAAATTTGTCAATATTTGCAAGTGCTGAAAAACGCTTTGAAGAATTACCAAACAAAAACCTATTTCAGAAAATAACATATTTTTTATCGTGAAGAATTAGTAAGTCTGGCACGTAAGCGTGGAATTGTGCTTATCTTAAACGCCATCGAGCAAGAAGATACTACTTAGCATGCACAGATACTCGTTTGTAGATACATTCATAAACATCTATTTATTGATGTCTGAA